AGCCCTCTATTTATTGCTTTAATTTTACATCGCTCATGGTCTCACAGTATTATTTTCCTACTTCAACTCGCTTCTATCGAGAAGCAAAAAAAGTAAAATAAATTAAAGGAGACAAGGCATACAGATTGTTAACTTTAGAGAGTTTTAGCATCACGTTTACTTCAAACGGCTAACGGCAGAGCTGAACCAATGACCTAAGAATTTCGTGCCCGACCTTGTGCTTTTGGTAGTCATTTGAATAAGCGGCTTTTCACGATTATGGCAACCTCAAAATAACCCGCTCTCGCGTTGAAACTGCAACGTCAAACTCAAAAAAAGCAGGTCACGTGATCTTTTCTGCCGTTTGCCGTGAACGTCATGCTAAACCTCTCTTTTGTTATTTGCGTTCAAGGTTGACCCAAAGTCTTCAAGTTTATTATACAACACTTTATTGGATTTATACCTCAACAATGCAGCACATGAAACTGATATACAGGTACTGTGTCATAAATATTCTTTTAATTTAATATCAGAATTTATCGTCGTCCTTTCCCGTAATGACGTCATCATCTTTTCAGGCGAAGTGCAATATGGGATTGACCATCGACTACCTATTCTCATTGATAAAATTCCCGCGAAATATGGCATCGACGCTGAGTCTAAAAGCGCCAAAACACACCCTCACCAATGCGTGCATCCACAGAAACCCCAGGGGACCCTTTCGAAGGCATAAATGCTAGGAAATCCATTAAAACCGCGTCTTCTTCGACAAAGTGCATGGCGCTAGGTCAAAGCTAGTTTTAACCCTCCCTCCTCCCCTTCGGCGACGCCAGCCTTCCACATTGCTCATGCCTTCTCGCTGCCTCGGCAAAGTCGCGTTYCCCATAACTTAACTCASYCGAGAYAATGAKARRGACWTTTTATCAAGGAGAATATAGTACTTTTGACAACCTTTTATTAGGTTGTGATATTTTATAATGTTTGTTCTTTTTAGGGTAAAGTTGCTCATGAACGTAAAGCCTTAGATCTTTTAATGAACACAGAGGCTGGCTACGACTTGGATCATGCGATGGTTCTTGCTCAGATGCATCACTTTAAAGCTGGGATTTTGTACCTTTATGAGAAAGCCAAGTTGTACGTATATCAAATATCTTTAACATGTTCTTCAGAAAACTTTTCCTCAAAGTTCCCTGAGCTATCTTGAAAAGTAGCCGCGCACTTGCATCGAAGCGAGACGACCGTTGAGCTTGCAATGTTAGAAATTCCCTTTCACACCTACAGACAATAGACTAATCCCGCATTCGATCGGATGAACACGAAACAATGGCTGGAGTTTTATCTTTTGTCGATAACTCCAGCCTCAAAATAAAACCATTGTTTCGTGTTCATCCAGGCGAATGCGGGATTGGTCTATTATTCACAGGTATCTATCATTGCACGCTCAATTGTCGTCTCGCTTCGGTAACAAAGGCACGGCTACTTTTCAAGATGGCGAAGGGAACTCATGCGCGGTTTTCTTATGAAACAGAGAAAATCCCCGTCTTGAAGAATTTATGTATGATCAGGTTGAAATCGTTTCCATCTTGTGTTGTTTTAACTGTTTCCCTGATATTTTCTGAGAAGGATTACCACCAGAAAGCAACTCTTAAAAAAATATTTTAAAGCATAACAGAAACGACCGCAAAGGTTCATGGATATAAAGTTTTAACGAAATATTGCTTCACAGATATCAACAGATTCTTCATTATCATATGGAACAAAACGATTACACCAACGTGATCGACACTTGCAAGAAATATGGGTATATATTCAAATTTAGTTTGTGTTCCTTTCATTTGAAATAATATACATGTATGACGTTATTTTTATGTAGGGCGCAAGATTCTGGTTTATGGGTCCAAGCATTGTCGTTTTTTGCACGAAAAGAGACTGATTGTAAAGTACAAATAGTAGAAGTCTTGTCTTGTATCCTTTGTAAATTTAGTTTCTTCGACATTTGAACAAGATCTCTTCGTATGCATTTCGCCTTTGCGGTTACATTTCGGGTTCCCTGTGGAAAGAATAGGACAGGGAGCCCGTTCTAATAACCAGTGTATGTTTATTAGTATTCTTTACTAGAGAAAGATATCGACAGAGGCAATTTAATGTCACCACTTCTTGTGCTGCAAACGCTTGCGCATAACTCTACAGCTACTTTAGCTGTTATTAAGGTATTTGAATATTTGAACGACATATTCCTAGGACTAAATCCTTCATCGTTTAATTCAGAAACGTCAGTAACAGGTTTCTGCTTTCGAACTTAACTGTGTATAACTAGTGGATTAACGACACGTCAGTAGTTTGGCCGCAGGCAGCCCAACCATTACTTTTTTTAATGCTTTGTTTCAATTAATCACTTTTTCTAGGACTACATCCTTCACCGTTTACAGTTAGAAGACGAGCTTATAGCTAAGGTACCGTGAAGTCTGCAAGGCTGTGTCAGTATTGATAATCTTGTTAACTTGAGTTATGTTTTGAACAGGATGAACGATTGATACGACAATATTCTGAAGAAACCGAAAAAATGAGAAATCAGATTGAGGATCTGAAAAAAAGGTAATTGGTCGAACTAAATCAGTAAATGATGATATTCAAACTCAAACACCAACCACTTTGGGATGGATAATTGTTTATGTCATAATCATCCTAAACCAATAATTCTTCATATCATACTCAACATCATCCAGTAATTGTTCGTATCATACCTTATTTCAACCAATAATTCTTCATACCACACTCAGACTCAACCAATAATTTTTCATATCATACTCAGCATCAACCAATAATTCTTTATATCATACCCAACGTCAACCAATATTTCTTCATATCATGCTTATTTTCAACCAATAATTTTTCATATCACACTCAGCATCAGCCAATATTTGTTTGTTTACAGTGCACAGGTATTCCAAGGAGCCAAGTGCAGCATGTGTTCAAGACCGTTAGACCTGCCTGCTGTCCACTTTCTTTGTCAACATTCATTTCATCAATTGTGAGTAGAGTAAATACATTAAGTCCGAGAAACACAAAGAGGATATTGCATAGGCGCGCAGAGATATAGAAGATATTACATGGGCACGCGGATTTTATCTTCGAGTGTTGAAAAGATCTCTCAAGAGATAGAGCGTAGCGAGATTTTCAACACGAGTAGATAAAATTCGTATCTCCAAGCGACCATGTAATATTCTGTTTATCACATAACTACATATGAAAGCAAATTATGTCCTGTTTCATTACTTCCACTATATAGAAAAACCTCGAATGTGTTATTTTCACTATGATAAATAGAAATTTGATATTCTTTTCTCCATTCTCGCGCTTTTTCTTCGCCGTTCATTTGATGTATCTCGCGTAATTTTAAAACAGACGTTACATCGTAAAATAACAAATGTCTTTTCTGTTATAGATGCTTTGAAAGYTACGCTGAAAATGACAATGAATGTCCCATATGTGCTCCTGAAAACAGGTCTGTATATATATGTTATATATATATACTGCCCGAGGTCTTGACAGTACGGATACCGGACCGAAAAAAATTATACGGTGATATTTGATGGATCTCTTTCCATCCTCCAAACATTTTTCTTCACGTCTCCCCGACCTCCGATCGTTCCTACGATCGCCACACCGTGCGTCCCTCCGTTCCTCCGTCTATCCCGTTCTACGACCGTCTCTACGACCGTCCTTCCCTCCCTCCGTCCTTTCTTTCCTGAGTTTTCTCATCCATCCGTTTCTTCTCCWATCCGTCCATGCCTTCTTTCATAGTGTGCCCATCCATCCCCYATCMATTCCTTCAAATTTTCATTCTTTCATTTAATTATTGTGCAGGAAAGTACTTGACATAATTCGATCCCAAGACCAAACAAAAGATCTTCACGAACAGTTCCACCATCAGGTATTCCTAAGATACTCCTGGGGTTCCTGTGTAGAAAGTCACCTGATCACTCAGGAGCCTTAATCACTATTTATTGATTAAAATGTCATTTCTATTATCATAGTTATTTTCACGTGAATTGCAAGGAAGAAACCAAAAAAAAAAAAACAGATTTCATTGTCACTCATTTCCTCCCTTTTACAATTCAATGCCGTTATTTAATCACAATTCTGACCTCTTGGTTCATTTCTTTGCAATTGTTTTGCAGTTAAACATATTCAACAGTTAGGCGGCGTTTRCACGAGCAATTTTTCCTTGACAAGTYTCTTGACAAGGAAAAATTGCCCGTGTGAATGGTCAACAAGTTTTCCTTGACAATTCTTCCTTGACAATATTTCTTTGCTAGTGTAAATGAAAAACAAGTTGTTTTTTTTTGTTGATATAGGCTTTGACATTTAGTGTTCGAGAGACTTTCTCTACATTGTAACGTAAAGACGGACTTATCCGTCCAGTATGTCTTTGTCTTTGCCGCCATTTTGTTTGTGACAGCTGTCTGTCATATTGATATATTTACCACATGTTAGCAGACATACTTTCTTGAAATGATTGTATCATCGTGTTATTTTATAGTTGGAGCGAGCATCTGATGGGTTTTCAGTGGTTGCTGACTATTTTGGTCGAGGAGTTTTCAATAAGGTATTATAAAATAACTATTATATAACGCACGCGCTGATTGGTTGAAATGCGCAAACATAGAAACACGGCTTCCGAGTGAAATGCTTAAATAGTAAAATTCTAATGGTTTTCTAAATGTTTCATAATTCAGTTTTTCTATTCTTTTTCATTCATTTTTTCCCTTTTCAATATCAGGTTACTTTGGTTAACAGCAGCCAAAGACGCGGCTCGGCGCCTCACATGACCGCAGAAGATCGTCGTTCTCATCTTTTACATTGAGACCAMAAAATTATGTGGACAATCAYRAATATTCCGATCRTCAGTGACCGTTGTTTATAGATSAATATTCCAAATGAAACTTCATGGGGTTCCGAAAAAGTACTAAGAGTAAAAAAAATCGATATGTAAATTATGATTTTAATAAATAAATAAATATCTTTAAAGGACCTATCTTTCGTTCTTTCCTTTTTTAGCGCCGTTCCTTCCATTCTTCTTGCCTCCATTCTTCTTCCCTATTTTCGTTTAATTCTTTCTTTAGCCTTCCTTGTCTCCTGCGTTCCATTTTTCTTTTCTTCAGCCCTTCAGATCATTCCTTTCTTTTTCGACCCTTCCTCCTTTTTAACTTCCTTACTTTCAGTTTTTACTACACTTTAAAACTTTCTTTTCAGTTCTTTTCCAAAGAAAATTAAAAGCGCCAGTAGGGTACTTGAAAAAAAACGTATGGACTTGATTATCTTTATTAAAGTACAAATTAGATTTAATCAATGTTTCAAAACATGTGGCGGCAACTTGCTGTGTTGAATAACAAGAGCTAAGAATGTCTGATACGCCAAGAGTTCTATAATTGCAGCTCGTACGGCAGAAACTAAAACGCAGAGCTCTGTGTCTATCTGAAAAGCTAAGTAGAAAAGCCCATCAACAATGGGGTTTTAGGTTCTAAAACATTTCATTTGGATTGGAATGACTCAACAATTTGGAATCAACGTAAGTACCAGTTTACAGCTTAATGACTCTAGTTAACTATCTACTTCAATATAATGTAGGGATTTGTGAACAAGAATTCACTGGAAAAAATCGCGCGCTTTAAAGGTTGTAAATTTGATGTAAATATGATGTAAGTGTCCAAAATGATGTAAATTTGATGTAAATCATTTCCATCAAATTTACATCATTTTGGACACTTACATCATATTTCCATCAATTTTACAACCTTAATGGCGTGCGATGTTTTCCAGTGATTATAGGGTTAATTTAATTAACAGGGTATTTTTTTTCCTGGAAAGGGATTTTGAGCTACATTGTTGACACGGGCACAAGCAAATGTGGCGCCCTTCCTTCTTTGAATAATTTTGTTCCTCATGGCAAACGTTTTCAAGGACAAAAAAGGCTTATATAACGTTTTTAATGGTCAAAACGGCTTATATTTTTTATTTAGTAATTTTTATTTTCCTGGCAAAAATTCTTAGAAAGTATTCCTTGCCTGGAGAGTTCTTGATTTCCCTGAATTTCTCGCAACTAGTTGTGACTTACAGCTGGCTGTGACATAAGAACAGATATATTTTTCCAGGGATCCGTCGGCTGCTCCTAAAATGTATACTTTGAAACGACTTAACAGTGCCTATAACTTTTCTTAAACTTTTAACAGATCATTGCCTGGTTTCTGCTGCTAACAACAAGTGCAAGCCAAGTTCACACAAACTCCCAACAACAAATTTGGCAGAAAGAAACAATTCATGACGGCGAAGACCACGGCTTTGCTTTAAATGGTTTTCAATACAAATCGTTTATAGTGTCAAGCTACGTACTTTGCTGGCTTGAATGCAAAAATGATGAAAATTGTATGAGTCTTAATTATGACACAACGTCAGAGAATTGTTCCCTAAACAGTCAAAACAAGATGTCGGCGCATAGTTATTACAGATGGACACGAAACAGCTACTATAGGACCATGTTGAACAGGCAGCCCAGGCACGGTAAGTTATYTCAGTGAATTTTTTCCACTTAATTATGACGCCACACGGCTTGTTTTCTCGCATCACGGTACAATACAAAACTATTTCATTACTAATTTTTAGCTTTTTTGTGCTGTAGTGGTCCAAGTTGTGCTAATAAGCAGTCATTTTTCACCACGAAATAGTCTCCTTCACGGTTCACTGCGCCATCTTGAAGGTAGCCGTCAATGCCTTTGCGTCGAAGCGAGACGACCGTTGAGCGTGCAAACATACTAAGAGACCTTCCTTCACACCTACAGACAATTATTCACAGGTTTCTATCATTGCATGTTCAACAGTTGTCTCGCTTTCGATGTTAAGGGGCGGCTACCTTTCAAGATGGCGCAGGGAACCGTAAAGGAGACTATTGCAATGCATCTCGGTAGCAACCAATTTCTTTGCTTAATTTGAAAGCGCATTTTTAGCCAAGTTTCTSAAGTTGTCTATTTTGTATAATAGGTGTCTGGAATAAGATGAATTCTAGTCCGGTATGCTTTGGCTGCACAGATGGTACTTCCTCTAACTTCACAATCAAACACAACGGCACGGTCTCCCGTATCAAATTAGTTCACTTGTCAGGGAACCTATTTAACTGCAATATAGATTTAACYCCACCCCTCCTTAGTAGGTGGGGCTGTAAACATCCGCAATTCAACTTGATCACCACTGTAATAACCTTCGCCAATGGAGTAATTATCCTACCTACGCCAGAAATGATCCAACTGAAAACTTTTCTAGCATACAATGTTCCAGGGATCATTGCCGATAGTGCGCCAGAAATTCTCATGGATATTCTGCATAATCTTGAAGTTACCGTTGGACAGCTGTACAAAATATGGCACGGGCAGGACTTTGCGGATGTTTCGGAGTCGAATAACGCTGGATTTGTTTGCATTGATGTGTATCTGTTCGGATTCTTTCGATAATTGTGACATTATCGAACTTCTGAAAGGTGTAATGTATGTAATGGTTTGTAGATTAGACTTCAACCACAAAAATAWTTGACAATCTTGAACATCATCTGCACCCTTTTTATCTTCTGGTTCATTTTTTCTTGGTCAAACGGCATTCAATGAGGTCCGCTTTTAGAGTATATATAAAAGATGTAGCCTGCGCCGGTAGCCATGCGTTTTTAGCCAATCCGAGAGAGTTTAGGCCATTGAGTCTGGGTTTCTCTGCAATTCTTTCTCAAAACAAATAGGCAACCAATAATTTATTATTGGAAATGACGTAATTATTCTTTTATTACATGCACCATAATTTTCTCTGTTATATATGTTACATTTGAGTGGTGACGCCATTTTSAATGTGCGAAATAATTTTGCTTCTTAAAATAATATAATGTATAATTTAATATGAACAATACATTTTTAGATAAAAAGTCTAGCTACTTATGTATACGAAAAAGGAGTTGCCTTAAAGGCACCACCATTGCGCATTAGCCAATTGAAACCCCGTCCCTCCAACCCCCGGGGAAGGCAAGAGAATTAACAAATTATTATGTTATCCTTCACGAGTTTGTAAGGTTTTTTGTAATTGGAGATTTCCTCGTTCTTAAATTCCATTGTTTTCTTTTATTTGACAAATAGCTAGTAAACCAATCGGATAAGATCTTGCAAAACCGTGAAGGGCTACCCCGAATTATAGTCGAGAATCAGCATTAATCCAGGGGAAGACAGGGGAATGAACGTCTAAATCAAAAGAAATGTCCTACTTAGTCACGTCTGTCCTATAAGCGCCGGGAATTCCTTGTTGAAAATGTTCATTCCCCCGGCATTCACCGAGAGTTGGGAAGCCGTGGTTTCAATAGGCAATGTGCAACGACGACATTTTGTTCACTAGCAAAGGATCATGGTAGTTGTATAGTCCTCGCATTTTTTTATGTCCGCTAAAACAGTCCTCTTACCCAGTTGCTTTTTCTAACCGAAAATAGAAGTATTTTTTGTGGCATTTTTAAAAAGAAAATAAAAAAAGGCTTTTAGGGAGATATTTTAGGGTCTATGAAAAGTACGAGTACAACTACCGTCATGCTTTGCTGCACAAAATGGCGTCCCTGTACATTGCCTATTGCCTGACGTATTAGTTTAAAATTTGTTTGTTTGTGTTTCACTTTTCGCGTCCGTTAGTTATTRCTGACGTCTGATTTACCAGTTGATCCATACTTGGTGCGAAATGTGGCGCTCCGTTGCCGTTTGAAGTAGATCCARCCAAAGTTGGCTGCCAAAAGGCAGGCTAAAACAATACCCCACTGAAACACGTTAAAACACTGATTACTTGTCTGAAACCTAAGCCGGATATAGTACAATAAATAGTAACATCACCTGTAATATGGCCATCATTAGGCTTTCTYTCTCAAGTTTATACCAGGCGTTGGAGTTGTGAATGTGGTCGTAAATCCACCATATCAGTAAACCTAAGGCTTCTAATGGAGCTATATATCTAAATCAAGTATACAACATACAATTAAATATGAATATATTCTGGCCGTCACCTCATCTGCATTATCACATATCACATGCGAAATTCGGCGTTATACAAGGTTCTGAGCCCAAACCCGATATCATAGCCATATTCATACTATAGTCATTTTGGTAGTTAAGAAAATCATTGCAATTGAAATTGTCTTGCAATAATGCAATACTTGGCAAGTAGACACGAGGTCGAGTGGACTACAAGTTGATAGTCCTTGAGGCCGTACTGTTTAAGTATCCAGCAAACTATAGAGCAAATTAAACTTGAGAAAATTTGCATAACAAACAATTTTAATTTCTCGACATTTTTTCGCACTATTTTTGCTTCATGAGACTACGATCTAACATCTATATACCATAGTTCAGTAGCCAATCAGAATGCTGGATAGGGCATAGTTTGGTGGATACTAAATGTTGTTAACCTACTTCACAATAATTTCCCAAAATTTCGGAAGATTCCAATCGTCTGTACCAAACTGCAATAAAAAATACAATCAATCGCTCTCTCCTTAAAATGACAGCTAGTATGTCGCAATATATCATTAAGCAACAAGACCCACGTACATAACGTTATATCTTACAGTACCGAAAACCGTGACAACGCGACAAATGTGATAGCGCTAGCAATGGCAGGCAGCATTAGCAAACGTGTGCAAGGACACAAGAGCAATGACAACAACAACGGACACAACATACAACTATTTCAAAAAACGTTGAATACTGAATACTATATAGTGCATTAGAGCGGATTTCGTATGATTGGGACACCGTTACCGCACGGTTACCGCACAGTTACCGGACCTGGCCTTCACAATTTTGGTGAACCAATGAGGCACTAGAACTCAAAAAACGTTGAATACTGAATACTATATAGTGCATTAGAGCGGATTTCGTATGATTGGGACACCGTTACCGCACGGTTACCGCACAGTTACCGGACCTGGCCTTCACAATTTTGGTGAACCAATGAGGCACTAGAACTTGGTTACAGTACGATTACGGTCACAGTACAGTACCGTCCGTTTCCCACTCATACGAAATCCGCTCTACAAGAAAGCAATGCATAGTTGCAAAACTCCGGCTTTTTTACAATTCTGAACTTTATTGCTTCCTACTGAAGTTCTTGACTGTACGGAGCTGGTTTAGTCACTCTGAAACTACATGCAAAAAACCTCTTTTTGAACGGCGATAGCTAGAACGACCATCATTGTATTGGAGTCTTGGAKTACACTATCTTATTATATTCAACGTTTTCTGAATTAGCTGTATACCAAATATAGGGATCACATGTAATGTGTTTGCCAACAGCTCCTACCGTATTGACAACGACACGACGGAATTCTTTGATACCATATCGAATYGGAAGGGAAAGCGTCATCCCTCCAGCAATAATTAAAGCAAAACTCCAAACAAAATCCTAAATCACAAAAAAATATTGGTATCTGACAGTTATAAAACATGAAACGTGCRCACAGGCAGCCCAACCCTTCTTTGCTTCCGTAGATTTGAAAAAAAGCGCCATCTTGATGATACTGTCATAAATACCACACATTTCACCAAGAGGGCTAATTAAAACCTTTTGGGATAGTCTAAGCTAAAGTTACAAAAACATGTAAAACGCGAAAACCCACCTGGTTGACAAGTATGTYTAGATCTACTGCGGATCCCAATCCGATCCCAAATATTAGTAGAGAGGCGAGAGGCAGACCACATTTTCTGGGAACTGAAAGGATATAATACGCATATGGTCACATGTTTCTGTGGTGGGTTCAGTGCCCGGCCGCAAGGTCTGTACTCTGTACCCGCTGCTCCCGGATTTTCGCTATTGCGCCAGAAAAAATAGAAAGTTCTGAATTGTATCCTAACCTTCCATATCTTGCAATGTGTGAACACACAATTCAATCTCAGATATAAGCGAGCTAAGTCCACCTAAAGACAAACACAGGAAAAACACTACACACAAAAAACGTCCTGCCGAACCAAAGCTGTTATATAGAAGTGGCATCCTGAAAACGAATAAAGCAACAATCAAATGGATGTTGATCAATAACAATAACAATAATAACAATAACAACAACAACAGCAACAATAAGAACAAGAACAATAACAGCAACAACAATAACAGCAACAACAACAACAATAACAACAACAACAATAGCAATAACAATAACAACAATGACAATAACAACAACAATAACAACAACAATAACAACAACAATAACAACAACAGCAACAACAATAACAATAACAACAACAATAACAATAACAACAACAATAACAACAACAGAAACAATTAACAACAACAGAAACAATTAACAACAATAACAACAACAACAGCAACAACAACAACAACAACAACAATAACAGCAACAACAGCAACAGCAACAATAATCACAATCACAATGATGATAATCAAATGATAACAATAATAATAATGATTATAATATATAAAAACTGATTACTGATTAAGATAAAGGTAAATATGGACATGCATTGGAATATCATTAAATATATTACCATATAAAGGTGAGACCAGTGTTTGCTTTTCCGTTGTTTTTTAATAGTGCCACAATCTCCTCTTGGCTGCTTGGTGAATCGTTGTTCATCTCCGTCGAAAAGGTTGTTATACAGCACAACAAACTAAATCATAGAAAGGAGCCCCATTCAGCTTTCATTTCTTCTCTTCTTAATTCATTATACACGTATGGCATTATAATTTCTATATTCTAAATCCCCCAAAAAGGGAGAAGATGGCTTGCCACACTAAACAGTCCCCTCACGATGTACACTATAGTATAATTAAAAAAAAACTTGTCTGGAAAATAAACGTTCACAAAGCAGCCAGAAACAATGCGCAAAACATGGCTTCAAACTTAAAGTTCGGTAATACTATAGAGCACCTCGACAAACACTGCAAAGCGTTATTATATAAAGGACCATCATGCTTTGCATTGKTGGGAACTAGCGGTAAACTAGTGTGTCTTTTACTCCGACGAAGGATTAACGTCCGAAACGTCAGTAAGTTATTTCATATACTTTTTTTACGGTGTTAAATTTATCTTTTTACACACATGCTTTGCATTGGCCGAAATTCTGTCTTTAGGCCATACCTGACTAGATTATTACAGGCTGGTATGGTAGTYCCTATTTTCACAACACCGTTTTCTTTCGTCATAAACGTTGCGTACGTTAGAAGTAAACCAACACCGGCACCTGGAAAAACAACGTAACGTTACGTACGGACCGYTGCACTTTACGTAACCTAACCTACCGTAAGTGAAGATAGTATAACAGGAACATGATTAACGTAACATAACATAACACGTAACGTAATGTGACAAGACGCAATATAAAATAGTACTGCATAACGTTMACGGAAATGTGRCATAACGGAAACCTAAGGTAACGTATCGTTATCTCACCGTAAAATAAAAACGTAGTATGTACGTAGAGGTGCCACATATATCAAAGTATATCATTTTATGACAAATTATTATCACGCAGCATAACAAATGATAAGATAAGCAGGTAAGACAATATTTTCGTAACGCAAGGCAACGTAACGTAACAGCAGCTAACGTACCTGTGTCCCATGCATTCTGTGAAGCTGCATCAACCCAAAGACTTGGATTCTTTAATGCCTCTACAATTGAAATAACATCGATCGTCCGACCAATCAATCAATCAATCCATGCCCTCCATCAATCCAACACACGCACAATACGTGTGAAAATAAAATGAGAATTCAAATCGAATCAAGCAAAATATTATAAATACCCCAGTCTGGTGTAAACAAATACGAAATTCCATAGCTGGCGTACTTCAGCGTTAAGGACCAATAAAAGGAAAATGCTACAATGACCAATAATATTGGAATAATGATTTTATTCACTAGTTCAATGGACTTCGCTGCCTTCGTAATGCTGACTGAGGCCAATAGTACACTGAGGAAATGACAGAAGATTGGCCAACTTGAATTCTGTGAATGTTTTAAGATAAAGTATTCATTGAATACAAGAAATACAAACTAACAACCTGAATAGTGAAATGACAGAAGATTGGCCAACTTGATTTCTGTGAAAGTTTTAATAACGTATTCATTGAATACAGGAAATACAAAATACAACCTGAATAGTTTTAACAATATAGTGTTAGCATTCATTGAATGGTCATGCTTAAGAAAGAATGCTGAGATACCAAAAACAAATAAAAAGAAAAGAGGCGAAGGGACGAGAAGAGAAAGAGAAAGAAGGGAACACAACTAGCTGAGAGTAAAGACAAGAGAACGGAAGAGTCAAAGAGGGGAATTACAGATGAGGAAATAAATAAAGAAATTTAATGAGATGGGATAAGGCAAGAAGAGAAGCTAGGAAAGATCGAAGTTGATTCATTGATCAGTGAAAAAACTAGAGACACAAATGAAGTAAAATGGCTTCAAACACGAAACTGTACCTCCATCTTGTCCCATTCTGCTAAGCTCTCTTCGCGTGATGATGGTAATGAATAAAATATTGAAACGAAAAGAAAATAGAAACACCATCCAAGGACGACGGAATAGTAGCCTCTAAAAGTTAAACCCAAGAAAACGTGTATGAAGGGTGACGACAGGATCGGGAATTGAATCAGAAAATTTGCAAAATTCGTACCCAATCATTGTRTTGACAACTGTCATCCAGCCTCCACACCAAGCCGACCCCTTTCCAATCAGAATCCTGAACGAACGAACGGTACTTCGTCTTGTATATCTGCCGACAGCATACTCGATGATAAGTATAGGAATTGACCACAGAAACAGGAACATTAGCCATGCTAATAGAAACTGTAGACATCCTGAGGGATCAGAAAATATACAGAGCTGAATGATCTGCAGGTAGCAACARGTTGGACTGCTTTAGCTGACAGTTTGCCTTTTGTTGGCACGAGAGATATCTGCTAAGATGATTTGCATACCGGTTCTCTAAATTACAGGCTGACTGCTGGTTGGTTGTTTAGTTATTCTCTTGGTAAGCTTGTTGGTTGGTTGGTTAGTAACAAAAAGTTGTTTGGTTGTTTTTTGGTTGTTTGGTTGGTTATTTGGTGGATTGGTTGGTTAGTTTGTTGGTTAGTATGGTTGCTTGGCATGGTTGGGTGGTTGGGTGGTAGGTAGGTTGGTTGGTTAGTGGGTTGGTTGGTTGGTTAGTTGGTTGGTTGGTTGGTTGGTTGGTTAGTGGGTTGGTTGGTTAGTGGGTTGTTGGTTGGTTGATTGATGAGTTAGTAGGTTGGTTGGTTTGTAAGTTGATTAATTGGTTTAGCTAGTTGGTTGAATGATTGGTTGGTTGGCTGAGACGTTTGTTGCTAGAATGATAGCTGCTTACTTATATTTAGTTTGTGGATAGGATGAAAAAAATTTATAAAACATCAAGTACAAACCTTTCCCTTCACTGTTATTAGCAACTATTCTTGGGAACCTCCAAATGTTGCCTGTACCAACAACACAGCCAAGACATGATAACACCAGGCCAATCTTACTTTTGAAATGACTTCCACCCTGCGCACAATCACACACAATAAAATATAATTTGTCCCAGCAGCATAGGATGGCACGAGGGCCGCTATGCAGTCTAAGTTTATCCATGGAACTGAATATTATCCTCCTGGCCAAGCAGTATATGGCTTTCGATCCAGGTTTTTTTGAGGAGGTGTGGTTGGAGGGTATATTCATTAACTTGGAAGAAATTGGGTTGCATACCACATAAACTGTAACAAAAAAAGGCATCTAGGGGTGGAGGGGGGGTTGGGGGAGGTGGTAGTGCACACATATTTTATACTTCCACCAGGAACCTGCCTACCAGGATCTATTCCTGCCTGATGCACTGCCTGACTGAATGGATAAGTAAAAGAATGAAAKACCAATTGAATGTGATTGACAGACTGCATGATCGGATGGACAAATGATGTCACATGCACAAGAGTGTAACACCAAAACGACTGACTAAAGTAACCATGGTTGTTGACAAATTGATGAATGATTGACAGTTCAATTGACTGTAAACTTGTTTACTAATTGTCTGTATAATTCCTATGGATTTCGTGTCTGCCTGCTTGAAGCATTACTACTCAAACTAATTGATCATTCGTACAATCCAGTGCTATATCACCCTATGGAATTCAGATTTCTATAGTTGAAATATTTCTAGCTTCGCTCTAGCTGTATGAATTATATTTGTGATATCTAGAGACGTGTCTAATCTATGTACTAAACATCGCTTAAATGCAATCAGCTCTTTTCCGTTACATTCAGAACTTCCGGTATTATTTCTGACTGACTCCTTGAGATTCTTCAACATCAAATTTTCTCTTTTTTACCTCATCTTCAGGATGAACTCTTCCTTTTGTAATGGGTACAACACTACTGGAGCTGCCCTCAGCCATACTGCAGTTCAGTTTCACTCTATAAGCTGGTTGTGTTTATATTTCGTAACTTCCACTGGTCGATAGTTTTCTTCGCAGCCTACCCGTTTGTCGGGCTTCCTGTCCCTCTTTTGGGAGGATGGTATTATATAACAATATTTTCGGAAACCTTGACCCTTTTTTGAAAAATTAAAAAATACACTTGAATTGTATTTCTTTGAACTTTTTGCATGGGTAATACCGGAAAAAATCTACGAAATAGAAGTCGTATTTCTTGCGTACTCCCCCTCCCACTCCCTCCCCAATACAACCACTGATCCCTCAGCTGACCATGTACACAAACGGCTCAAGTTATGCAACGTACCGATATTTGGAGTTCCCGAACTATTTTTACTAGTTCAAGATGTCGGGCTGGTTTTCAAGGACTTCTAAGACTCTTCCTGACTGCACAGGGCCCTTTTCAGTCGGCTGTGCCGACATTATGTTTGCACAAAGCGAATCTTTGAAATTCGGCAGCTTCATTCGACTGTTTTATCCTGTTAGTCCAAAGAGCAGTGACTCAGCAAGTAATCCAAAGCAGGCACTGTGGTGCCCTAGGAAAGAATATTCCAATGGACTGGCAAGTTTTATTAACATGAGCTCTTGGTTGTTTGGAAAGCTGATACATTGGACCGTAGGTTAGCATGTAATTTTCAGTACTTTTATGATAGGGTTGTAAAATAGGTGGGGTGTGTGACTTTGGTCACCCCACTTGAGAACTAATTACATATGCATCTTATTTTACATGGCACACGACATTTTTGTGCAACATGCTTTGTAATTACAAATGTAAAGGATATATTTTGAATATTTAATCATGCATTCCAGCTATAATTGATGCAATACTACATTATTAATTGCCATTAATTTTCATTGACCTGCTCAGCACCTGTCCACACAAGAATGCAATTAGCTGGTCTGAAAATCAACTCCGAAGCTCTTAAAATAACTACAGTTGTCAACTATAGGTAGAGAGGCAACCAAAATGGCTTGGGCCTCGTCTATTAGCATCTAGCAGACTTAACTCCAACAGTGCTAGTTACACTTGGGTGGAGAGAGGCATTGAGAGAGTAAAGTCTTTTGCATAAGGACACAGTTAATAGAGAGTTTAAGTATCACGTTCACGCCAAACGGCTAAGGGCAGAGATGAACAAATAACCAAAGAATTTCGTACCTGACCTTGTGTTTTTGGTAGTCATTTGAAAGAGCGACTTTCAAAATTATGGCAACCCCAAAATAACTCACTCTTGCGTCGAAACTGTAATGTTAAACCCCCAAAAGCAGGTCACATGATCTTTTCTGCCATTTGCCGTGAACGTCATGCTTAAGGTCTCTATTATGTTTGCCTCAGGTCTGTGAATTGAACCCATGACTATAGACCCTAAATCCAAGGCAAGTTACCAAATAGACCATCACAACTCTGTTACAATGACAACCACTGCATTGCGACTTCTTTGTTTCGGAGTTTGTTTTGATTTTGTTCTTTCCTTTGATCTAAGGGGAGGATTTTTTTGTAAACTCGTTCAGTCATAGGCTGATTTGTAGTCAAGCTCCGCCCCAAAATCACAGAAAAACCTAAATCCTATCGAAAATTGAAGTGGCAATGCGACCGGTTTCTTCTGTAAGTACATCATCTTCATGTATAACCAATCACTGGTTCATTCTACAAGTGAAATTCAAGCTATGCAATTTACTTTTCCAATAAAACTTTCAGGTAATGTAGTTATCCCTGCT